TCTTCTCGCGTTTCGAATTTCTTCCTCTTTTTCTTTTTGAAATTGGTTCCCCATTTATGGTTACTTTACTTGCACGTTTTTAATTATTGAAGCTACAGGGAAGCTCGTCATATGGAAATGATTTCCCTATACTTTATTAAAAATACAGATTTTGTTTATTTTAATATGATTTTTAATGGTTTTTATTTGATTTTTTGATTGATTTTATCAGCGTTAATTGATTTCATGTCAGTTTTCAGCTAAAACGACAGTGGCATAACAGAATCAAACAATAGTAATAGTGCAGGTGGCTCGGGTAGAGACGCGAGAGCTGGGAACTTTGCTGGCTGTACGAGTTGCTAACCCTAGAAATAGGGTTAGCCAAAGTTTAAACTCAATTGGATTTAGGGTTTGTAATATTGGGTTGATGTTGGGTCATTTTTTAAAAGGGTTGCTTTTTAATTTGTCTTTGAGCCATAATTTGGTTTTGTTTTCTTGTAATGGTCTTGTAAATAATAATAATAATAATAAAATAAAATCCAGACAAAACAGGTGTCTACAAATAATTTGCATTTATATATGAAAGTAAAAAAATAAATATGGTTTTGATATTGATAAATTATCCAAAACAGGTACAACAAACAACATGGGAATATAATTACGAAGATTTTATAGACCTTGTCGATATTTTGGAAGATGTAGACAGTGGTTCTTGTTGTGTCCTTCACCTTTTCAGTAGCCACAAAACTTTGGCAAACATTCTCTCGTTAAGGATCATCCATATCAGTATGAACTCGACTAGATTCAGGATGACCCCTCAAATTCTTTCGTAATTATAAATTGGGCAACCATTCTTCAGAAGCTATTGGTGGCCAATACGCATCCTTTGGGAGATACTTAAAGTCACAACTGATATGTTGTGCATAATATGCAAGCTATAATAATCATTAGCATATGCGTGTGGGTCTACATTTGCATGCATACATGCTGCAACCGCGTGAGCGTATGGGTATCTGAAGGCTTGAAATCAACCACAACTACACCATCTTATATTCAGATTACCAGTGTAGATGACATAATTCCCACCCTCATTTGATCAAACAAGTGCTTGGACAACGTAATCAGAATTGAGTCTGGCGAAATTATGAACATACATTAATGATGCATATGTTTGATTTTTGTTCATTGTTTTCTCCAAATTTGAAGCCCAATTTCTGCATTCGTTAATCATTGTCTCTATTTGGGCACCTTTTTCGCTCATACTTTACCCAATCTGAAGTAAGTCTCCTGAACAATACTTGCTACTAGAAGATGTCTAGTCTCTTTAAGCACATAATTGATACATTCAGTGAGATTGGTTGTCAATGATTGTGACGTCAACCCTGATCGTCATATACTTGTGACCATCTTTCTCGATGTAATTCAGCTATAAAGTTATATACCTCATCTCTATATTTCCTCAGATTTTTCAGCCTTGTACGAAAGTTTAGTTGTAGTAAAATGTATCCTAAAAAAAGTTAGATTTAAGTATAATAATAAATGAATAACATTAATAAAGGGGAAAAATAAGTTACATGTGTTAATAATCTTTTTTGTATCTTCTTATTCTTAAAGCTCTTCATAGCATTGGAAGTAATATGACTTACTTACTTCTTGAGTGATAGCATGGGAACGCAAGTTTGACAAAAAGAATTTCCATATTTCCTCAAAACTCATTTTTAACAATGGCAAAGGCAATGGGGGAAAATGTTTCTTCCACTATCTTGTGCAATTGCTAGCATCAAGATGTGTTTGTATACACCATACAGAAAAGTACCATCCACTTGAACCATTTTTTTGTAGTAACGAAAACCTTTAACAGACGACTTGAAAGCCCATAATAAGCCTTCGAAAACTCTTTTCCCTAGGATAACATGTCCATCAAATATGGTCATAAGATAAAGTATAAGAGCGAACAATGGTTCTTGGATGAAAAAACTCTATTGCGTGCAATAGATGTGGAAGCTCATTGTACGATTGATCCTAATCACCATACAATAGTTTCTTAGTTTTCCTTTTCGCCATCCACGACTTGTGGTAAGAATGAATATAACCAAATGTATTACTGATTGATGCTACTATCATTGAAACTGGGATCCTTGAATTTTTCTCCACAAAAAACTTGACGTATGCACATATGACATCAAAATGTGTCAAGGAGATCAACGTACAATTGTGTTGATTGTGGAACCTTGTGACTTCCCACAACATCTTTCGTTGTAGGTATGAGACATGTATCATTCACTTACAACCAACATTATTATTTATACATCTGACAAAATATGTCTTCTGATCAGACTCCACCACATTGAATTCTATATGAGCTCGGATAAAAAACTCATTTACTGTTAGTTGGGCATAATTCTTAGTTTCAAACAAGGACCCAACTGCCAACTCTATTAATTCCTCGTCTGAGTTACCCTAGTTGGTTGCACATATATCCGACAATCAGAAATCTCAGGATTCCTCATGGCATCATAGTTTATGTCATATATTGCAATTGGATTGCTCCACATTTGAGCAAAGTCTCTGAAATTATGTGTTGATAATTCAAACATTAAATAAAAGCTCCAGGTTTTCTTTCAATTTTTTTACTTTATTTAGTGATGAGATATATCTACAAGGAACATCATGTTTAGGGCCTATGTGACATAAACTAAACACCATCATTAGTTTGAATAACTTCGCCATTTGAGATGACCACTGTGAAAAAATTTGTTAGACATAACTTGAGAAAGGTTTTTTGTTATTCAATGCAGTTGTACAAAGTAGAAGTTTTGTGAAAATTCATATAAAGTAAATCAATTTAAAAGAAAAATGAGTTATCATCAATGGTCATTCAATTCGGTGATAGAAACTTTTTAGTGAAATTTCATCTCATAGGTAAAGTAATGCAACATGGCAGAATCTAAGTGTGCCTAATTAATCATCTTCAACTTTTCAGTGCCTAATTAATCATCTTCAGCAACTTTTCAGTGATATATCAACTTGTTTCAGAAAACTTTTCAGTTGTGATAAATCACTTCATATAATAAAAACATGTATTTCTCATAGGCAAAATAATGCACCATGGCAGAAACTTTTATTGCCCAATTGATCATTTTCTGTAACTTTTCAGTTATATATCAACTCATTTCAGAAAACTTTTTAGTGATGATATATCACTTCATATAAGAAAAACGTGTATTTCTCATAGGCAAAATAATGCACCATGGCAAAAACTTTTTAGTGCCCAATTAATCATTTTCAGTAACTTTTCAGTGATATATCAACTCATTTAAGAAAACTTTTCAGTGGTGATATATCACTTAATATCAGAAAAACGTGCATTTCTTATAAACAAAATAACGCACCATGACAGAAACTTTTCAGTGTTCAATTAATAATCTTCAACAACTTTTCAGTGATTTATCAACTCATTTTAGAAAACTTTTTAGTGGTGATATATCACTTCATATAAGAAAAAACGTGTATTTCTCATAGGCAAAATAATGCACAATGGCATAAACTTTTTAATTCACAAAGGTTTCATAAACCTATTAAAATGTGTGAGGTGAAAGCTATTTTACTCATTTAAAACAAAAAAAAATCTAAAACAATTATAGTATATCACTTTTCAAGCTTGAGGTTTTTGAGAACATGACAACTATTCATGTAAATGTTTTTTATGATTGCAAATCTTTAACCATGTGTTTTGAAAAAAAATGTTCAACTAGACAAGTTAAATTTCAATATAGAAGCAAGGGTTCAACTCGGAAGCAGTAGAAGAATATCATCGTTATATTATAAATTGCTACTATCATGGACGAGGTTTCATCTAAGCGATAATGTCGACCTTGCTGATATGATTGAGGCATACTTCTATAATTCATTGTCTAATATCGATTTGCTTGTAAAATTCGCTAATATCGACCTTGCTCGTACGGTTGAGGATGTTGCTTCTAGCTCAAATATCATACCAATTCAGACAAATGACGAAGAAACAAACATGGATGATGGAGACCGAGAAGCACGGTTCCAATTTGTACGTGAATGACAACAAAAAAAACATGAAGAATTGAAAAACTTAATATTACTTTTGACGAGTCTATTGATTATGAAGATTAAAACATCATAACGAATACTGTTATATTTATGATTTTATTTACTGTTTAAGGTGTGTGTAAGGTTAGTTCTATTTACTTCCTTAATGTAATGTATTAAGGTTGTTGTTTTTCTTCTTCTTAATGTAATGTTCATGGTTCGTTATTTTTGTCTCCATATTGTAATGTTTAATGGTTTAAGTTAATGTATACAATTTGTTGTTCTTTAAAATAAGACATATTACAATCTACTTAACTTTTCAGTCATATATCAGTATGACCGTTAGAACTCTTAATATTAAGAAAATAAAAACAACAACTGAATATGATCATTCAAAGGAAGTCACCTCAGCATTAAGATTTTTTCTAAATATAATATTAAAAAACAAATACGAAAAAATAATATTATTTTAAAGAAACTCGTCACCTCCAAAAAAAATTCAATTATTAAGTTTAATTTAATAACCGTAAAAAATAATATTGTTTTAATTAAACTTGTCAACACAGGTGACGAGTTATATAGAAAATAATTAAACAATACACACCAAATATAATAATATTATTTTTTAAAATAAAAAAATATCGTAAATCTCAAAATAAATGCATAATAACCTTATTTTATATATTTTTTTTGAGGGCTGCCTATTGGAAAAAAAACCCCTAAAATTTTAATTTATTATTTTCTTTCTAGAACCCAATTGGAGTGTTAGTTCAAAAAACGTCTAAAGCAGTCCAGTTAGAAGGTAATCAAATTCAAACCCATAGCGACCAGTTTTTTATTCCCCAAATTTAATGGAGATAATGACGTGGAATAACCCTATTGGCTGTGAAATCCACCGTAAGAAATGCGCGCCCAGGATCTCTTGGTGGTTCGTTTTATTTCATTACACGAGCCATAAAAATAATAAGGATAACTCCAAAAAAAAAGTGTCTGCCATAACCTCATCTCATCGCAATTTCTCCCCCACTCATGACTTTCTGAAAACTTTTTTCGTCAAAAAATCTTTCATCAAGCAAAATCCATGGCGAGGACTCTAATTTCATCACATCCCTTCATCGGCACTCCACTTCTATCATCAAAAAGCTTTCGCCGTGGTGGCCTGTATACACTCCCTAACTCTAGACTTGCCTCCACCAGAATCCGTCTAAGCTTCAACGAAATCCCTCCGGTTACTTCACTTGATTCTTCCGTCGATTTCCAAGCACTTTTTACCAAAGCCGAGAGCCTCCTATACACTATCGCCGACGCTGCTGTTGCGGCGGATCCAGCCGCCACCGCTGCCGGGTCCACTGACGCTGCCGCGCAGAAAAATGGTGGTTGGTTCGGCTTCATCGCTGAATCAATGGAATTTGTTCTCAAGGTAAAGCTTCTCTCCCGAGTCCCCGTGTAAACACATATTCCACATATCAGAAACTAATTATTGATGAAGTATCTAACTAAATATTGCTGAATTATGTTTTTTTAGGTGTTGAAAGACGGATTATCGGCATTACACGTGCCTTACGCGTATGGATTTGCGATTATATTACTCACGGTTGTAGTTAAGATTGCTACATTTCCTTTGACAAAGCAGCAGGTTTGCCTTTGGTTCGACTTGTTTAGTTAAAGAAATTGCTTAAAATTTAGATGTGGTTTTGATTATTTCCAACTCGAAAGTTAACAGTTAACGATGGTTTTTAGGTGGAATCAACGCTAGCTATGCAAAATCTTCAACCAAAAATAAAAGCTATCCAACAAAGATATGCTGGAAATCAGGTAATACGGAAGTTTGAATTTGATTACTTACTTTTTTAATAATTGGAAAGGTTCATTTTTTTCTCTCTTTTGATTCAATTTAGGAGAGAATACAACTCGAAACTTCTCGCTTGTATAGGCAGGCTGGGGTTAATCCTTTGGCAGGTATCCTTTTGATTAATCACTTGAAATTCTATGTTTTTTCTTCCATATTTAATTAAATTTAGGTTTTTTTTTCTTTGTTGATATCTTAGCTTGTAAAAACCGGTGATACTATGATAGAGAGTTTATGATGGTTGTATGGCAATTGACTTGAACTTAAATGTTAGTATTATTTTATAAAAGGGAGTGAAGAATGAATTTATGATGCAATGATTCTAGTGCCATTCTTTCTCTTCAGGCCTTTTGCCACTTTTCATTTTTATGGAGGCCTCAAGAGTCAACTCTTATAGTTATTAGCGTCATAGGAGATATGACAATGCTCATCAGTATCTTAAAACTTTGTCTTTGCAGGTTGCTTCCCTACTTTAGCCACTATTCCAGTCTGGATAGGCCTGTATCAAGCTCTTTCAAATGTGGCAAATGAGGTAATAAAGTGGTTGACGTAGCATTCTGATTTGCGAGTGATATTTGGAGAACACTTTCAGATGTTAAATAACTTTCATTACTGATTGCTGCAAATTTTTACTCAAAGGGATTGTTGACGGAAGGCTTCTTTTGGATCCCTTCGTTGGGTGGGCCAACTACAATTGCTGCTCGACAAAGTGGGTCTGGAATTTCTTGGCTTATTCCATTTGTGGTAATGAACTTACTCCCAAACTTTGACGATTAACAATTCTCTTTGTTATTTTTGTAGTTTTCAGCATTTTGGATTTCCTTGCTTTTTTTTTTTGTATCTTATACTTGTCTGTGACAGCTCTATATTTTACTAAAATCTTCTTTTTAAATGCTACGGAGGTGTTAAAGAGACTGATTGTTGTTACTTATTTAATTATTTTAGTCTCTTTGGTGTTGATTTGTTTATTAACAATTGTGAGAGTGAGACCTCTATTTTTGAAGATTGAAAATATTGATCTTACCTTTATAATTACCCTAATAATTTGTAGTATATTTACCTCTGGTTTCCTTGGATGAAAAAAAATATGATTATAAATTTATAATAGCTACTAAATTTGTGTGAAGCTATTGGCTTAACTACATTTTGCAGCTGGGATTAGAATAAGAATAGCAAATTAGAGTTTTGAGATGTAGCTTCTGTTGACCAGGTGCAGAAACCACATTCTTCCTCTGGTTCATACATCTAATTTTGTTCTCTAACATATGAGGGGCAATGATCATGTAGGATGGCCATCCACCATTGGGTTGGCATGACACTGCTGCATACCTTATTTTACCTGTGCTTCTTGTCGTCAGTCAATATGTTTCAATGGAGCTGATGAAGCCGCCCCAGGTAAGAAGAACAGCCTTCATTACTTCCATTTCATTCCGATTTGACATATTAATTTGGTTAATAGTTTAAACCTCTCAACTTTTTTTGGACAGACGGATCCAGCCCAAAAGAATACACTTCTAGTTCTCAAGTTTCTTCCCCTTATGATTGGTTACTTTTCGTTATCTGTTCCGTCAGGATTATCAATTTACTGGTTGGTCTCTTTTAGCACTTTTACTGAAACCAATAGACTTAGCAATATGCACTTGGCTTCTAGTTTGGTTTCTGATTGTGTCACAAACATATAGTATATGCAGTGGCTTTGTATGGTCATCATTCTGATCCATGACTGAAACATTTTATACTTGCACTTTCATTTATTTTACAATGTTGTATGTACCAACAGAGTAGAGCATTCAAAATTCAATTTTTCTTGTATTTTTAATAATTCCTTTTGAGGTTGGATGTAAATATGCAATTGGAATTTGCATATATATGAATAAGATACGTACTGACTTTGGATACGAGAATAAATTGTCCCAGCTTCATTGCTTTTGATTCCCTCCGTATTTAATTTTGAGCACTAACCTCTATATCTCCACATGTACTTCCATCTTCATTTGTTTTCACATCATGCTGCATCATATGTGTGAATTCTGTCCTTGTTTGTCTTTCCTGTTGAACGTGTCTAAACATGTTGAATGTCTTAGCCTTCTAGATGAGGTCATTTACTTGAACACTATAAACTTTTTCCCTTTTCCGAAATAGTGGTACACCCAACTTGCTTTAAAAATTCACCTTACTATTCAGCTATGTGGTTTGTCATTTCTTAGATGTGCCCATTTTCAGGTTTACAAACAATGTCCTTAGCACTGCACAACAAGTGTGGTTACGCAAATTAGGTGGTGCAAAACCTGTTGTTGATGAGAGTGCTAGTGGAATTATTACCGCAGGACGTGCAAAACGTTCAGCCGCTGAGACAGAACGTCGCGGGGATAGGTTAGTCCCTGGCTTTTTAAATGATAACAGGGTTCTGTTTTTGCTTCAAACTTAGCATGCTGTAAAACAAATGGAAATTAACAGGTTCAGGCAATTAAAAGAAGAAGAGAAGAAGAAGAAGAAAGTAAGCAAGGCTCTATCAGCAGATGAGGTTCAGGCTTTAGATTCAGCATCTGATTCTGATGGGGAGTCAGATGATGAGATAAAGGACAAGGTAAATTTCTACTTTCAGTAATTAGAGGCTGCCCTTTTCATTTTAAGGTCTCCCTAATCCACGTTTGGAATTTATCGAAGATTTAGTTCTCACCATAAACAAATGGGTATAGAGCCCAATGCACAGTTGATGCTGGAGGAATATTACTATTTTCTTGAACTTGCCATATGTTTTTTGTTACCCTACAGAAGATAATGATGACTTGTTTAGATTGATGGCTGTCAAACAGAATTTTCTTACAGGATCATTTGCAAGGTTTTAACTGTAGAAAACAGACAAGTCTGTTATTTTTATTCTTGTGTACATTCAGTAGAACATATTACATATTTATATACAAATTATGCCTCTAAACTAGGAAACTCTAAGAAAGGAAACTAATCCTAGGAGATGTAATCCTTTGAAATAAGGGATTGAAAAAACAGAAAATAATTACATAATCTCTTAACTTAAGGGATTGACAACTCATTTCTATAATTCCTACACTCCCCCTCAAACTGGTGTATATATGTTGTATATACCCAGTTTGCATGACATCTCATCAAAAGTCACTCGTGGAAGGGCTTTGGTGAAGATATCTGCCAGCTGTTTCTTCGTCGGAATGTACTACAGTTTTGCAACTCCATTGTTGACCTTCTCGTAAATAAAATGTCTGTCTATCTCAATGTGTTTCGTTCTATCATGCTGCAGTGGATTTTTTGCTATACTCATAGCTGATTGACTGTCACTAAAAATCTCAAAATTCTTCTTGTCATCTAAGTCCAGTTCTGTGAGCAGTCTTTTAATCCACATTCCTTCACATATTCTGAGAGCCATTGCTCTAAACTCTGACTCAGCACTACTTCGAGAGACAACAGCTTGTTTCTTACTTCTCCAAGTCACCAAATTACCCCAAACGTAGGTACAGTAGCCACTAACTGATCTTCTATCAGTTAATTCACCTCCCCAGCTTGCATATGTATAAACCTTCACTGTTCTGTCTTGATTTTTTCTAAATATAAGTCCAGCTCCTGGGGTAAATTTCAAGAATCTTAAAATTCTGTTAACAGCTTCCAAATGTTCTTCTCGAGGATCACTCATATGTTGGCTGACAATGCTCACTGAGTATGCAATATCAGGTCTGGTCAGTGACAGGTAGATTAACTTCCCAACTAACATTTGGTAGGATTCCTTGTTTACTGGATTTCCAGTCCTCTCCTTGCAAAAATTTCAAGCCTGGCTCCATTGGAGTTTCAACTGGTTTGCAGTCGAGCATCCCAGTTTCTGCAAGAAGATCCAAAATACTTACGCTGGTTTATGACCAGCCCTTCCTCGGACCTTGCAACTTCCATACCCAGGAAATACCTCATACTCCCTAAATCCTTGGTTTCAAACTCCTTTGCAAGATTCATCTTTAGCTTTTCTATTTCTTCTATATCACTGCCAGTTATAATCATATCATCTACATAGACAATTAGGAGGGTTATCTTACCACTCGGTGTAATTTTTCTGAATAATGTGTGATCTGCTTGGCTTTGTTTGAAACCATTCTGTGTCATAGCCTTAGCAAATCGATCAAACCAAGCCATGGGAGACTGTTTTAAGCCATATAAGGATTTATTGAGCTTGCACACAGTTTCTTAGTGACTTTTCCTTCTAATCCGGGGGGGACCTCCATGTATACCTCTTCTTCAAGGTTCCCATTCAGAAAAGCATTCTTTATGTCCAGCTGATGCAATTTCCAGTCCATGTTAACAGCTACTGATAACAATATTCTGATGGTATTCAATTTTGCAACCGGTGCAAAAGTCTCCTGGTAGTCGATGCCATAGGACTGAGAAAAACCTTTAGCAACCAGCCTTGCCTTGTATCTTTCCACACTCCCATCCGAATGATATTTGATTGTGAATATCCACCTGCATCCAACAGCTCTCTTCCCTTTTGGCAAATCTGTCAAACTCCATGTTTTATTCTTTTGCAATGCTTTTATCTCTTCTTCCACAGCCTTTTTCCACTCAGGAGATTGAAATGCTTCTGTCACATTTCTTGGGATTTTCACAGTGTTAATACTGGTAGTGAAGGCCCTGAAATTATACTGTAATTTCCCATATGCAACATACTTATTTATGGGATGAGCAGTGCATTTTCTTACCCCCTTCCTAATAGCAATAGGAAAGTCATCAAGATCAACAGTAGTAGCCTCTTGGTTACCATAATTGCCTTCTGTTTCAGCTGCAACAGGATCCGAATCTGGTTCTTGGCAAATGCTAGGCTGACTGATTTCTTCAGCAACATCTTTCCTTCTTCTTGAGTAAACACTGAGTTGTTTCGGTTGGGGAGTTATGGTTTCAGGGTCATTGTTAGGTGCATTTTTGGTAGTGGTGGAAGGTGTTTTGCACGGACTAGAGTGCTGAGATAAGGAGGAAGGTAATTCATCAGAGTTATTTAGGTTATTCCCATCACCCTCCCTAGGAACTGGGGCAGTGCTAGCCGGCTTTGGAGAGACAGTAATAGGTAAGGAAATGATAGGTTGTAAAGAAATATCGGTTTGAACAGGTTGAAATTCCTTGTAACTAATAGGCTGTAAAGAAATATCGGTTTGAACAGGCTGAAATTCCTTGCAACTCTCCCCCTGAATTTCTGTTCCTGAAAAATAAGGTTGGTTTTCAAAAAATGTAACATCAAAGGAGACATAGGTCTTTTTGGTGGAAGGTGAGTAACACTTGTAACCCTTCTGACTCGAAGAATAGCCCAAGAACACACTTTATGGACCTAGGATCTAATTTCCCTCTGTTGTGGATATGAACAAAGGCTGTACACCCAAACACCCGAGGAGAAAGACTTGAGTTTAAATGTTTAAAATGGGGATACAGCTGAAACAGAACCTTAGTATGAATTTTGAAATCTAAGGTTTTACTTGGCATTCTATTGATGAGGTAAGTGGCTGTAAGAAGAGCTTCCCCCCAAAGATACTTAGGAGCATTAGCAGCAAACATAAGAGACCTAGTAACATCTAGAAGATGTCTATTTTTTCCTTTCTGCTACCCCGTTTTGTTGAGGTGTGTTGACACAAGAAGTAAGGTGAACAATGCCTTTTTCCTTAAAGAAATACCCAAGGGTTTTATTCAAATACTCACTCCCATTGTCACTCCTTAGAATTTTGATTTTGTGTCAAATTGGGTTTCAACTTTTGATAAAAACTTTTAAAGAGAGACTCAACCTCAGATTTTTCTCTCATTAAGAAAACCCATGTTGTCCTAGAGTAATCATCTATAAAAGACACAAACCACTTATACCCAGAAATACTTTTGACAGGAGAAGGGCCCCAAATGTCACTATGGATGATGGAAAAAGGTGGTGTTGGTTCAAATTTGGCTGGAATATATGGTTTTCTGGTGTGTTTGGCCATTTGACAAATTTCACAGGAAAACAAAGATGGATCTTTATTAATGAATAAGTTCGGTAACATTTTGGAAAGATAGAAAAAATTAGGATGACCTAATCTAGAGTGCCATAACATAATTTTATTGGTATTGAGATCAGAAGATAAAATTGGTTTCCTAAGAGCACTAGATAAGGCATGATTATGAGATGCTTTACCTCCAAGGGTGTACAATCCTTTGCCCAGCCTAGCACTGCCAATCACCCTCTTCGAGCCCTGTGTCTGAAAAATGCAACCACCAGTACCAAACACAACATTACAACCAAAATCTTTAATTAATTTGCTGACTGACAACAGATTGTATGCAAGTCTAGGAACATAGAGGACATTATGAAGTAGTAGATTTTTGTTTAATGTAACAGAACCACTCCTTTGACTGTAGTGAGAGAACCATCTGCTATTTTGATAGAAGCTGGTAAGCTGCTTTCACTATATTCCTCCAAGATATTAATATTTCCTGTCATATGATCTGATGCACCCGAGTCTATTATCCATTGTACCGAGGAAGCATATGGATTATTTCCATCAGTAGTAGTATAAGTCACATTTGTAGGCTTGGCTGTCATACTGCTCAAAATCTGCTGCAGTTCCTCTATCTGTTTCTTGCTAAAACTGCTTGAGGAATCATCTTGAGAGGCAATATGAGGCTCCTTTGAAACCTGGACCGTGTGTGCTGCCAATCGGCTGGTTTCCGTGCAGCTTCCAACATTGATCTATCATATGGCCTGGCTTCTTACAATGTTCACACCAAAGGCGATTTTTCCTCTGTTGCTTTGAAAATTTGAAAACTGAAATCTGAAAATCAGATTGAGAGGGGCTGGTCTGGGAAGTGATTTCGGATGCTGAGGGATCCGGATTAGCCATGAAAAAAATAGAGTTGAATAGGAATTGATTTAAAGAGAAGCGAAAATCGGATTGATCGCTCTAACCTGATACCATGTAGAAAACGACTGTAGAAAACAACAAGCTGTTATTTTATTCTTGTGTACATTCAGTAGAACATATTACATATTTATATACAAATTATGCCTCTAAATTAGGAAACTCTAAGAAAGGAAACTAATCCTAGGAGATGTAATCCCTTGAAATAAGGGATTGAAAAAACAGAAAATAATTACATAATCTCTTAACTTAAGGGATTGACAACTCATTTCTATAATTCCTACATTAACCTTGCAAGTTGAATTCTATGAAGTCATTAGCGATGATTATACTACTTTAGCTGTCAGTTATTGATCTTCTAAATTGTCATATAGGGAGCAAAAAAAGAAGCAAGAATGACATGGGAAGCTAGTCATCTTTAGGAAGAGATGAAATTAATCTGTGACTGCGTGTTTATGGAAGCATGATTACACGCTCAAAGTTTTGACTTTATGGTACCTGTAGGTGGGTTCCACTGCGCAAAATCCAATATTGATTGAACTATGAAATAAAATCAAACATTTTCTTTTGTAAGTTGGTGCAAGCACGATATGCTATTAACATGGGGAGGATTAGTTAGTAACATGAGTGGGACATCAGCTACAACCACACCTGTCTTGTCTATATGCATAGATGAAAGTCTATTCGACTGTGGTCAACTCTAAAACAGCACTGGTCATTCTCTTGTTCTAGAAGAATATATGTAAATTGCATTACCTATTTCAGAAGTAACAAATCTATACGGGTATGGGAGGTTTGGCTTTTCTATGTCGATAAACATATACTTTATTTTAGGCTTTTGGTGTGATGCTTTCCTAATATTTTACCATTTGAAGTTGGGCCAACTACTGCCGGTGGATTAATGCAAATCTGAAACTTCACCACATTTCGCTTGTTAAACCAACTACTAATTTCAAGTTTCTAACAGGATGGTGAGACTCTTGAAGAAGCATATGCTTCCAATGAAAGCAAACAAGTCCCTAATAATTCGCAGCCGAGACGAAGCAAGAGAACTAAGCGGAAGCGTGCTGTATAAGAAGATTGTACACTGAATTATTTTAGCTTAGGGTGAGTTGTGCATATCTAAAGAAGTGTATTATTTTTATGTAGTGGCAATTTTGATGTTGGCTCATTCAAGATATTTTGCAAAATCATGAAAACAACTGTCTGATTAAAAAAAACACCACTTCCATGCTCCAGAAGGCCCGTATTTTTCTAATTTCAGTCGTTATTCAGGTTGAGAAAATTTTATTCAATCGTGACATTTTCATCTTTTGGTATGTTGAGCTAGCTAAGCATTTCAAGTCTCATTCCTGGAAACATTTGTGATAGGGATCTTGTACTGTTAAACATTTGTGATTGAAGCATATAATAGTACACCAATACTTGCTTTTTATCATATTTATCTTTAAAATTAAAATTCTTTTCCTACAAAGAGATATCTGACCTCCAATCCAATTGGTATTTCCTTATCCTATCTCCCACATTGGCTGTCGCATCCATTGTCTTATTGCCTTGGTGGTGGCCGGTGATTTTCTAATGGGTTCGGTCCGGATTGGGATTTATGAACCTTCCTCATTTTAACCTGCTTTTTCATCATTTTATTACAGTAGTAAGGAGACTTTTAGTGAATGGGCTTCATTATACTAGCTACTTGAATGCAATAGTTTTAATCTGAAAGAGACAACACATCTTACCCATGTAGGTAATACATGTCTAACACTTGAGCTTGGCGTTAGGTTTCGAAGTCTGAACTTGAAGTCAACTGTTGGCACTAAAGAGAAGGGGAAAAAAACATAAATTCGTTACAATTTAGAATATAGAAAAATATGGAAAGCCTGCTTGATGTAGTAGCATGCTATGCATCGAATGCTGAATAGAGAGAGAGAAGGAATGATTGCCTGATTCAATGGCTTGAACATTGATTTGGTAACCCTGGGAGTTGAGAATCTATAGAAGAACGTAAATCAGAACTTGCTCTCTCGTCTTATCTAGGTGGTTATATCCGTTAGTTGCTTTATTCTATTTATGGGCTCTTACAAGAATGGAGGAGCATTTTAATGATGCATTTTCTGTAATCATAACCAAACTTGAAAATATATTTAAGAATGTTTGTTAAAGGTGGATTATGTACAAGATTGTTAAGATAAAAAATTTCTGTGTAACATGATATCCCACAGCTTATGCATGACTGTTCCTCCCAGCGTGAACTCATCTTTTGCCAATAGATACAAGCAATACAAAGATGATGGACATTCGGTTAACTTTAATTTATAGTCTGATTTGTAATTATATGTAATATGTGGTGTATTTATTATGTATGTTTGTAAGTTGGATTGAAGAATCAATGGTGTTGAACTGCAAGTTGTATTTATTATGTATGTTTGTAAGTTGGATTGAAGAATCAATGGTGTTGAACTGCAAGTTATCTGTAATAGTTTCCCTGCACAAAATATTGGCTTTGGCTACAAGATGCCTGTTTTAACTGAAAAATCTCTCGCAAACTACCAGAGCCAACAGCCACTATTTCCAACAACAATATCCACACATCTACAGTATTCAGAGAACCCTAAAATGAAAAACAAAAGCAACGAAGCTGGATTTTCCTAGTAGAAATTAATTGCATTCTCGGTGAGCTTTGAGTTAAGGGATTCCATCGTCGATGATTACTGAGTCGCTTGTCATAGGATCACGCAAACCGTATCCATCCCAACACAGTACATGGTCCCTGTAGCCACCATTCTCATTCAAAATATGATTCATTGTTGGAAGGGGCCGGGAAAGAAACCAACTTACAAATGAAATATGTAATTCCCTTCATATACATGGTTGGCAGGCGGATCACGGAGACCCTGGAATCAGTAGGCGGATCAGATAGTGTTCGTAAACAATCATCGAACCCCTCAAAAAGAACTTACAATCTTCTCGCCGATGATTCTGTTGCAGCCTTTGCAACGGACATACACCACTGGAAGATTATGGCGAAACAAACCAAAGCGATCGGCCCGCACATTGACGCTGTATAGTCAAAGAAGCACATAGATTAAATTATAATGATTCTACTTTATTATACACAATGAAATGTAAATGAGAGGTATCTTACGCGCTACGGAAGAGAACTCCATTGGCCGGGGTCGGCCATTCTACCTGAAATTTTGGTTCAAAGTAAGTACATATCCTACAAGAATTGAAGTTGCGGTAAGTAAATACAGAGAAGAGTAGATCCATACACAGGCAAGGCAGTCGTAAAGAGGGGCGAGGTTAGTCCTGATTGTGAGCTGTGAAAAGGATTCAAGCTTCTTGGAAGGAGAAGGGTTTTATATACACAAAATGTTAACCGATTGTTCCCTTTCTTCGGTTGTAACTGTCAGGGCGAAAGGATCTCGCGGGTAAACTAAACCCTAAAATCTTAAACTACCGACGGGCTTAGTTAAAAATGAACTTTGACGATGACAGTTACTTCCACGTTGCGGTTGTAATATTTTTTTATTAAGTAAATGCTATTACGAATAGTATATGTTCTAAATATTATCAATCATTTGATAATAAATATTCAATCATTCTATTATAGTCGTTGAAACTCAAACTGTGTCCTCTAACAACAACATTAATTCCAAAAATGAACTTGACGATGACAGTTACTTCCACGTTGCGGTTGTAATATTTTTTTATTAAGTAAATGCTATTACGAATAGTATATGTTCTAAATATTATCAATCATTTGATAATAAATATTCAATCATTCTATTATAGTCGTTGAAACTCAAACTTGTGTCCTCTAACAACAACATTAATTCCTTTAGTCATCGTGATTATATTTATAATTTAAACATATTTAAAAGTTAATAGTTAAAGTTTTTAAATGTGAACGTGTGTAATTAAAACAGATTAAATCGCTCATTGCAAAAAAAGTAAATTATGTATTTAGTACCTAAACTATTAATTTTGGTTCTTTTTGTACTTAAATTTTCAATTTTTTCAATGTCATACCTAACGTTTAGTTTTCATTTTAGTACCCGTCGTTAAAAACTTAACGTGTTTAGTACCTAAACTATCAGTTTTAGTTTGTTTTAGTGCCTAAACTTTTATATTTGTATTCAAACTTTACGTTAAATTTTGAATGAGTGTGCTTAAATGAAACAAAAACTAAAATTTTTAACGAGTACTAAAATGAAACAAAAACTAAACTTAGGTATGGTTTTGAAAAAATTAAAAGTTTAGGTATTAAAATGGACCAAAGCTGATAGTTTAGGTACTACATGTGTAATTTATTTAAAAAATAAAAAGTTGAATATCTAAATTGCACCCCCACAACAAAACACAAAGTTTAAGTACCTATTTACATAATTTAAAAAAGGGTTAACTACTTCAAATACTACCAACCTTTAAGCATTGACTAGTTTATACCACCAACGTTTCAATTTTGCCAATTTTAGCACTAACGTTTACGTTAAGTGCAATTACGCCACTCCGCCGTTAATGGTTTAACAGGACAATAGCATGACAACGACATGTCGTGACGTCGCTAACGTGGATGCCACATCTAAACGATGTTTTGACGTTTTTATTTTAGTGCTCAAAAGATCCAAAATAACGTTGTTTTGCTTGAACCCTAATTTTCCCAAGGACTAAACTCAAAATTTCCCATTATTTTTTCGTATTCGTCCTCCTCATCTACATCTCCTTTTCCATAGTATGAAACTAGAATAACCATCTTTATCTTGAAAAATATTTTTTTGACAAACTTTATCATGAAAAATAAGATGAAAATTTATAAAATTTTCCCAATATATTTCCTTTCTAGTTCCTTTTTGACAATGGCTTGATAAGCCCTTTTCAACCCAAAGTTTCCACCTTCATCCTGAATTGAAGCTGTCGTAACCGGTTTTCGCCTGGGTACAAATTTTTTACTTGGCGGGAAAAGTGATGTGAATAAATAAATGATTTTGATTTTAAAAATGTTTTGAGAGTCGTCATTGACCTTTTTGGGTTAGGTAGGTCAAATACCTCAAAACAATATTTTAAAATAGTTTTTAAGAAAACATAATTTAAAAGATAAACTAATATGCGTATAACTAAAAAAATTTAGTAAAAAAGGGATTCGTGGTCGGTGACGTTTAGGGAAAGACTAGCACTCCTATAACGCCCAAAATTGGTACCCATTAATTATAAATTGTCTCTATTATTGGAAATTTAAGAATTCAAAAATATATTTAATTCAATCCTGTTATTTCAAATTTATTACTATAATTTAGAAATAATTAATTTATATCTTTAATATATATATATATATATATTAGGTTTTTATATGATATTTATTTACTTAGATATATCAGAAAATGACATCTAGTTGCTTTAAGACAACCCCTTTCTTAATATTAAAAATAAATAAATATTAAAAACATGATTAAAATAATTTATATAATATATATATATATATATATATATATAAGCATGATATTTATTATTTTTAAAATACCAAAATAGGACATCTAGTTATTTTAAGATTGTCCTTTCTTAATATTTAAAAATAAATAAATATTATCAATTTATAAAATTAATCAAATAATATATATTAATATGACTAAAATGAAATAATAATAAAATAATAATTAAAATATTGAATTAAACATATTGAAATTTAAAGAATAAAATAAAATTAAAATATAACTAAACAATGACTAAAATAACCATATATAAAATTTGAACATCAAATTAAAACAAAATAAAACATGCTTTTCGGGATTAAAATATTAATTAATAAAATTACAATGGCTAAATCAGTTATTCGCCCTAAAATATATATAATTATGTTAAGGATTAAATTATAATAAACTAAAATTCGAATATCAAATTATAATAAATAAAAACATGCTTTAAGGATCAAATTGCAAAGTTTTAAAATTACAATGGCTTCGGGAATAGTTAAACCATGTGTGAAATTACATCAAGGCCCTCACCAAAACTACGTCGTTTTGGTGAGGGTATTTATACCCTAATCCAGACAGCCTTAAGGCCAATTTTTTCATTTTATTTCTTCTCATTCTCTCTCTAAGAGAGAGACATTTTTTCTCTCTCTCGCCTCTCTCTATAATTCCCTTATCGAAGGGAATCCGGTCGCTGCCGATAGATGTTTGCCTCCGTTGACCCCACCGTCGGCCACCACCTCTGGTGGCCGAAAAATACTAATTTATATCAAAATAAAGCCCCGATCTGCCCAAGGTCGAATCCAGCCTTAGTTTCCCC